GTATGTTTGGGATCATTGTCATGTTGAAAGACCCAGCCACGTTTCATCTTCAATGCCCTTGCTGATGGAAGGAGGTTTGCACTCAAAATCTCACGATACATGGCCCCATTCATTCTGTCCTGTACACGGATCAGTTGTCCTGGTCCCTTTGCAGAGAAACAGCCCCCCAAAGCATGATGTTGCCACCCCCATGCTTCACAGTAGGTATGGTGTTCTTTGGTTGCAACTCGGCATTCTCCCTCCTCCAAACACGACAAGTTGTGTTTCTACCAAATAGTTCTATTTTGGTTTCATCTGACCATATGACCTTCTCCCAATCCTCTTCTGGATCATCCAAATGCTCTCTAGCAAACTTCAGATGGGCCCGGACATGTACTGACTTAAGCAGGGGGACACGTCTGGTACTGCAGGATCTGAGTCCCTGGCGGCGTAGTGTGTTACTGATGGTAGCCTTTGTTACGTTGGTCCCAACTCCCTGCAGGTCATTCACTAGGTCCCCCCGTGTGGTCCTGGGATTTTTGCTCACCGTTCTTGTGATCATTTTGACCCCACGGGGTGAGACCTTGCGTGGAGCCCCAGATCGAGGGAGATTATTAGTGGTCTTGTATGTCTTCCATTTTCTAATTATTGCTCCCACAGTTGATTTGTTCACACCAAGCTGCTTGCCTATTGCAGATTCAGTCTTCCCAGCCCGGTGCAGGTCTACAATTTTGTTTCTGGTGTCCTTCGACAGCTCTTTGGTCTTCACCATAGTGGAGTTTGGAGTGTGACTGTTTGAGATTGTGGACAGGTGTCTTTTATACTGATAACAAGTTCAAACAGGTGCCATTGAGGTCTACCTATGATGCCAATTTCAGGCCTCTCATCTTTTTAAGTGGGAGAATTTGCACAATTGGTGGCTGACTAAATACTTTTTTGCACCACTGTAAGTCCCCCCAGCTTGGGACACAGCAATAAAACCTGTGATTGGGAAGGAAAGAGCGCCACACCAAGCATTAAAGAGTCTGAATGAAACAGAACAAAAACCCTTCCCCACATTATTGCAAGCTATGGAAAAAGAAATAGGGCTGTAATTTAACTTTGTGATATGTACTCACATTTTTTTTTTGGGTGGACTTGGCTTTCACATAATGCTGTTTTTATTCTTCTTGTTTAAATTTGCCTTAATTTACCTGTTGGAAATGTATGAACATGTATTGTGGTTTATTATTCTTACTCTTTAACATGCCAATTATTATGGTTCTACTAGGCAGCAGAAAGAAAATTGTTCTCTGCATACATGTACCCAAGTAGTCATATGGTTTGGCTTCTGGAGCAGTCAGCCCTTTGCCCTCCTTTCCCACCTCTGCTTCTTATACTAACCTGTCCCCCTTTCTTTACCCCTCCCTGCCCTCCCAGTCACCTGGAAGCCCTGCTCCTGCTACCCCGCAGGGTAGAGAAGCCGTTGTGTCTGAGGTAGAGCAGGAGCGTGAGGAAGAGGAGGAGGAGGAGGAAGCGTCAGTGGAATTTGTCCTCTCCTCTGATGTTGAAGATGATTATGAGCCAGAGCTGTTCTTAGTGCCCGAGGGGCAGCCTGTGAACCAGCCAATGCTGGCCGCAGCTCAGTCTTTACACCGAGAAGCTACCAAATGGTCCAGTAAGGTATTCAACGGTTACAAAATATGCATCCTCCACCGTGCCATTTGCATCCCACCCCTGTCCCTCCATCTATGACACGGTTTGCGCCTCCCGTCTGCGCCAAGCTGATAGTTTTGCTGAGTGTTTTGTTTACCTGTGCTGGCTTGTGTCTGCGAGCCCATGAATGGCTTCCTCAGTGGATTTTGGCTTGTGTATGTTTTGTGTATCAAGATGTTTGTTGGGTTAGCTGTTCAATAATACTCGTGATCTGTTTGGAGATAGGGGGTTGTATTATTTAGTATAAGTATCTGACATTTACATTGCCATGCTTATCATACTGCAATAGAGCAGCCTGGTACTGGAGGCAATTAGAGGCTAATGTAGCTAAAATATATCTCCTCTAAACCACATACTGCAATATTAGTCATGTATGCCTAATCTCTGTTTTCTTTATTCTAATAACCGGTATCCTATCTCCATCCCATCCAGTTCATACTAACAGATACGCCCTCAAGGGGAATTGTTCAGCCATCTGCTTTACCTTTTTAATGTGCTTTAACAGTTTTATTCTGCAAAAACATGTACTTAATCATTTTTGCATGGCTGCCTTCAGCTCTTGATATGATTAACTATGACAGATGTGCAGACTTGATCCCACAAAAACAGAATTATTGACTGGAAGTGTACTTTGAATAATGGATATTATCCCTCTTGAATACTGAATCACTCGGTATGGGATAAAATGAAAATATTTAGAATATAAGAAATGCCCTTTTCCCATAGTAGCCATATTATTTAGGTGGCTAGATGCTGTCCTTTCATGGTAAATGGGAAATCATCATAACGTATTTATGTATTAGGTGATGTGGCCATTGTATTAACAGCATAGGTAAGAGAGGGAGGCTAGTCGTTTGGTCTTCTCAATGTGCCATTGCTGCTGGCTGTACCAGTAAGCTATGGTTGAATATGTTTTATGATTCTTATTTAACAATGATATGCACATACAACCTATGTATTTAATACACAACAAGACAAGTTTAGTACACCTTGTGCGTTCTTCTGGGTCACAGGATAATTGGTTTTAGCTGTTCTGTGAATGGATGGACACCGGAGGGTTTGGTATAATCCCAGCTCTTTATTTCTTACCCAAATCCACATGGAATTGTAGTCACATCAGGATTACAGTTTGCTACTTTTTGTAAAGATGGGATAGTTTTTGAATTTGACGACCCAAAATTTATACTAAAACTTTTTTTTAACATCTTAAAAGATTTTTCAACCTTTTTTTTTAGAACGCTCCCAGTTTTATGTTTTTTTTTCTTATAAAGAAACAGAGAGTTACTGATTACTCTATACTTCTGTATCCTGCATTTACGATGTTCTACGTAAAGCATGATGAGCTAATTCCTGTGCAGTCCTGTCAGCTAGAGATGATGTATGACTAAACACTTGGTGTGTATAGTACAAGTATTAGCTTCTCACATCACTGTGATATAATGTCTTACACACAGCATCACAGATATGTGCCGAGTGATGAGCACTAGACCATGGTTAGAAGGTAAGTATTGATATGGTGGTCAAGAAAATGTCTTATTGGTCAGAGTGGCCCTAAAATATACAGTGTAACTTTATCACACCCTTATCGACATAAGCAAAACTTAATAGGTACAAAGGCAATCATAAGTCCTATAGAAGATGTAAAGACTGTACATAGGATAGTCTTGGTATAATCAGGCTGGGGGCTATTCGGGGCCATAAATTCGATGTTGTGCCATCATATTTCCGAATTGTGGTGCAGCTAATGCACTTTAACCTAACCTATGAAGTACCCAATTTACTATGAAGAAAAGTGGTGCCAGTTTACAAATATGACATAAATTCTCGAGTGGCCATCCATTTAAACATCATTTAACACCGGTTTGGACAAATTCCAGGAGCCAGGTAGCCAATGATCCTTAAAAAAGTATAGCTGGTGCCTAACATTTCAGGTTTTCATTAGTTATCAATGGAGCTGGCTCCTGTATTGGACAGACTGGCTCCTGTATTCTGTATTATTTGTCTGCCCCCGATTCAACACATGCGGAGTAGCCCCCTGTGTATATGGTAATAGGGTATGACCAATAGGATTTCTAAGGAGCCACCTATCTTCTCATGTTATTGTATAAACCGTTTTTTTCAATACACATATTCACTTTTGGTTTCCCAATGACCAAAAATCAGGTCATTTAAATATTATGCAAAATAGTGGTGTTCAAACTGACCAAAATGGCGAGTGCATAAAAGATGCGTTTATAAACAGCTCAGCATTCTTAACTTGTCCTCATTGCCCTTTGGATAGGGTTCCTTTATCCCTTGATAGGTAGCTTTTCCCCCTTTTTTACTCTCTAACATTCTTCCTTTCAGGTGTGTACTAAATGTCATCACTGATGCATGACCGTATTGCTGTGTCTGATACTAACCCACAGCCTGCAGAATCTCCATAGCGCTCAGTCTGGCGGGGCACACTTTTGTGGAACGGCTCTGTTGGTTGTAGCCTGCACTGATGTCTGTTCTGGTGTACAGATTTGTTAAGGCAACATCCGCTGCGTTTACAGCATCTGTAATCCTGCACACCTCACTAAACGTGTATATATGTTACCCTGTAGTGTTTGGTGAATCACTAATTTAACCATGTTAAGCTTGGAAACTGTTAATGGCTGTATAAAGGTATCTGCAGTTTTTTTAAATCTCATCCTCTTTGTTTCCAGCTCCTCTCAATGGCGTCAATGTGAAATAAATGTTTATTCGTAGATGCGTTCATTTTTCTCATTTTTTAAAATCTGACTAAATCTAATTTTGTCATCGCTTGTAAAGAATTGAGGCGTCTTTCAGAATAAGTGCCAGTACATGGAATTCATTCACCAAGAGCCTTTCAGGTTATAAAAGTCTGCGAGTTTATGATTTGTTAGCATATTTGTGGCCATTGGGAGAAGCACGTGGAACTAGAGCACTTTTTTCCTTTTTCTATGTACGTTTTCCATTCATGTTTTGCCAGCAGGATGCAGGTTTAGCTTTTTGTGTTTTTTCAAAAATAATGTCTTGAATTTGTATTGCACATTTCTGCCCATCTAAGCAATGGATGATGGCAAATGTATTTATATTTGTTCCTTTCACTGCTATTTTATGCTCCTAACTGAATTGCTCCACTATTGTAGGGTAATGACATCATCGCAGCTGCCAAGCGCATGGCTCTGCTTATGGCTGAGATGTCTCGGCTTGTGAGAGGTGGTAGTGGCAACAAGAGAGCTCTGATTCAGTGTGCCAAAGACATTGCTAAAGCATCAGATGAAGTGACCAAGCTGGCCAAGGAAGTGGCTAAGCAGTGCACAGATAAGAGGATCAGAACTAACTTGCTACAGGTAAACTGATTTTTGTTAAGCATATCACATTTATGTGCAGCGCCTAGAGTCCATTACTTGGCGCACAAGTATTTGTTAAAGGCTTCGTCTTTGTAATAATAATAATAATAATTGACTATTTGTTAGAGATGAGCAATTACTGAGCAGGTTATTTCTAACAATTCTTGAAAAAGATGATAGAAGTGTCTGAGATCAGGGTAGGTATAAGTTTGGGCCGTGCTAATACTATGAGAGAAAATTGTAATGAGTTTTCACTTTCCCAAAAGTGCTGTCGGTGAGAATATCAGATATTTTTGCATGACCGTTCCCTTCAGTGTTTAGGCTTCCACCATAATAATTTCCCAATTTCTTGATGTCATGGAGTGCTGGATTAGCAAGAATTATTTGTGTGGTGACCATTTTTTTGAGGGGTCGATGGTGCTACAAAAATATTTTAAAAGGACTAATCATAGTTCTGTTTGCAGCAACAAACCGCAGGTTAGGGACAGCAAATAATGGCTGAAATCTCTCTCAAATAGAGGCCCATCAACACAGAAAAGTTTTTAGTCTGGGCATTTGCTTTCTAGAATTGTGTTGAACAAAAATTGGCTGCTTTTACCCTGTCAGCAGTGGTTATAGGACTTTATTACACGGATTGGAATTGATCTTGTTTTACAGCAAAACTAAAGTGTAACTCCAGTAAAAAAAAAAAAAAATTTAGCCTTCCTTCCACATGTATGGAAAAAAAAAGCCAAGTTCTACTTAGTCTCATGCTCCAATGCTATTCCTAACTTCCTCATTTGTCCAGTGCTGGCCAACTGTATCGCAGGAAGAAGTGGAAACAAACTAGAAGACTGAAGGAAAAAGGTGTATATATAGGTTTTATGAGGGGGGGAATGCACAGACTTCCACTTTAAGCAATTTTTGACATATACCTTAAAAAGGTCCCATGGGGGTTGCTACTTTCCATGCAATCTGTGTAACTCTTTTTAAATGCATGATGCAGAATTCTTATTATTGGTCTGTATCAAGCTATCCAGTATATAAACTGTTTGCAACTAAACAGATAACAACAATGAATATTTAAAAAGGGAGAAAACCTTATTATAACTGAGCACTTTTCCCTTGACCTTTCTTTACAGGTATGTGAAAGGATCCCGACTATCAGCACCCAGCTAAAGATTCTGAGTACTGTCAAGGCCACTATGCTGGGAAGGACCAATATCAGCGATGAAGAATCAGAGCAGGTGAGAGTTTAAAAATGGAAAAATAGATGAATCCAGAACTCACTCTTTTTTTTAGTTTGATTAGAAAAATTTAATTTTAAGGAAAATGTTCTCTTATGTGCTGCATGGAGAAGGAATGCCCCTCCTTTTTTTTAATTTTTATTTAAGTATGTGGTTAGCTGGATACAACTTTATATAAACCTCACAGGGAAATGTGCTTTTAGAAACATGGACAATAGCCGTTGCTGGAGGCCCAGCATTGATTATGGGCTACATGGTGTAATTGGGCATGGTATGCTGCAGGTCAAGCATTAATTGTGGTGTACACAGTGGTATTGGAATTGGTATGCTGGAGGCCAAGCAATAATTGTGGTGTACACAGTGGTATCGGAATTGGTATGCTGGAGGCCAAGCAATAATTTTGGTGTACACAGTAGTATCAGACTTGGTATGCTGGAGGCCAAGCAATAATTGTGGTGTACACAGTAGTATCAGACTTGGTATGCTGGAGGCCAGCATTAAATCTGTTATTTGCTTCCATCCCTTCCACTTCTCTGTGAGCATTTGTAGTCAGGTTTTTACTTATTAATCTAAATAAAAAACAATCTTCATTTTTCTGTATAGTTAGTCCTTGTTCACGTGGGCTTCACCTTTTATGAGCACAGTGTGCTTTGGAATTTGCTAACAGGCCCTATCAGAACAGGTCAAAGGTCTCCCTGAAGGATCTTGCGCCTGAAGCAGGCTAGCTAGAACTTGTAAAACGTCTGAACAGAATATCAGGTGGGGAGCTTACAAATCTGCCTGATGTTGAAAAGCCTGAGAAGCGCTTACAGACCTAGTGTTAATTAGAAAGTGGAAACCTGATCCTTGAGACCATAATCTTGAATGATCGTCTGTCTGAACCACCTAGAGATGGTGGAATGAGGTACCAGGGTGCCCTTTAAAGGGGACCTTTCAGAATGACAAAATGGAATCAGTATTTCTAAAAGGAGCAGTGCCGCTGATAAGTAGACTCGCACAGCCTGAACCACTTCCGGACAATTGAGGGGTATTTACTTCTGATGAACCAGAGCCTGACAAAGGAACAGGAGAACGATGTCAAGGTTAAGGTGAAAGGCAGAGATTACATTAGGAAAGAAGGAAGTCCCGGTCCTGTCCCTATGCAAGATCAAAAAGGTTTTTTTGCATGAAAAGGTTACCAGTTCAGACACTTGCCTTGCAGAAGTGATTGCTACCAGGGAAGAGTAGAAGTTTAGAGGTGAGAGAGTAATGTCTCTTATGAGTTCAAACGATGGTTTCTGGAGCGCAAAGAGAGCCAGATTGAAATCCTCCAGATTCACAGAGGATAGAAATGGCAGATCTCACGTTACCAGCTGTTAAGGCTGCAGGTAAATCGGAAACCAAATCTGCTGGAAAGGTCACGGCAGTGAGCGTATCCCTTTTTGTGACCTAAACTACCCCGTTATTTGTGGACAAAAAGTCCTGCATGACCTCAGCTGAGAGGGCATAGGTACTAAAGAGGCCTCTGGAGACTGTCTCTAATAGCACAGGACAACATGATTGCAGGCTGCAGATGTCAGAAACATCAATAGGTGAGATAAAGCAGTCCCTGACCATGTACTCATGAAACCCTGGCAGCTGGTAGCAGGTGTGGGGTTGATGACCGAAGGGTCCACATGGCTCTTTGGAACCAGGGCCAGCAGTAGGAAGATGCTTCTTCAATGTTGTATGGCAGGGAAGAGATTGGTGCATGCGTGAATGACAGTCTTCCCAGTAAATGGCATCAGCACTGAGCCACATATTGTTGGCTATTTTTATGGCTGAGCTAACTACCAGAAACGGAGTAATGGCACCCAGCTGCTAAAAATATTCAGACCAGGAAAACATCTTGCAGATAACTTTTTGAACAGAGCGTCTTAGAACAAAGTGTCTCATGCAAAATCCATTGCCCAAAGATCACTTCCAGGCTACCCCCACAATGTTGAGCCTAGTCCAGGGCCTGGATGCAAAGTGGTTCGAAAGCTAGGCTGAGGATGACAGTGCCAGGTAGCTGCCAATCAGTGGAAGCCAGCAGCAGTGTATAGTAGTCTTGATAAAAGAAAACAATTGAATAGAAATAAATTGCTAGTACAACACAAACCAGTGTTTACACCGGCAGAGCTGGACAGAAGACATCCATCCTTATGGGACACAAGTAAAAAAAACTGAGGCATGCTGATCGTAAAAGGGATATCTAGGCCTGGTTTGCCATTGTCCAATCCTCCTGTAGACCACAGTATAACATGTAGATTAACGGCTTCCTGTGTCGCTCATTTGTTGAAAAGTCTTGTTTAGAAAGCCATGCGTGCCAGACAACCTGACCTAGAGACCTATACACATATAATATAAAGAAGCTGAACTCTGAGACAGTACTAAACCCCTGCTTCTGCCATTTCATTTCATGTACACCTGTAATCCTCCTGTTTTTGTAATTTTAGGCAACAGAAATGCTTGTCCATAATGCACAGAACCTGATGCAGTCAGTAAAAGAGACTGTAAGGGAGGCTGAAGCTGCATCAATCAAGATCCGGACAGATGCTGGATTCACACTTCGTTGGGCCCGGAAAACCCCCTGGTACCAGTAACTCCTTCACCTTGGGATGGAATATAGCTGTCTCCTCCTACTGTACAAAGCACACTAATAATGTGTAACTAAAAAGAAACTGATGATGAATTTGCTTTCTAAGTGAGCCTCCAGATCGTTAGACGGCCATTTTTATTGTTTTTGTCTAACACTACTTTGGCTCCTCCATTATCAAGTTGCTTAACTCACTTTTTTCTATCTTATTCATGGCCTTCAGACTGATTCTTCACTAAGCTGCATATCAGCAAGTGTGTTTTGTTTGTGAGAGATCAGTGCAATACACCAGACGGCACAACCTGATCTGTGTCTTTCTGCTTTGTCACACCTTCGCCTAAACACCCGTCACAGCCTTCATATTCTGCTGAGCACAGCCTGTGATAGAATAGTGCGGGTATTGATATGAAATGTAAAACACTAAACTGCTATTTATCATCCATACTCTTACTTCGGTGCTTTGATGTTTATCCTGTAGGGCCCATATCATTTCTCCTTTTCCCTATCTATGCAGAGGACTGTGACTTGTCTTGTTAGCATATATTAAGTGTCCTTCAGAATAGAAGAACAGTATCATGATTGTATAATTGCAGCACTTCTACCTTATGTGTGATCCAGCAGTGATGGTGGCAGAGTATTTCTGGTTTTTCTTACATGGAATACATGAATACATGAAAGACGAAGTTTGTATATATAACTTCCAGACCTTTGAGAGGAGATGATCAAACCTGGTGCCGTTTATAGAGATAAACCTATACAAACTTGAACTTTTAGGATGTGAATAATATCATATCTGAATAACCCAGAGGTCTGTGGAAGTAGCTTTTGCCTTTACACTATTGCTTGTCAGTTAGCTCTTCATGCATAACTCTGGCGCAAGCCAATGATTTCTCATGTTTTGGGTTGGAATAAATTCGAGCTTTCTGCCACAAAGGTACATTCAGGTGAATGTGTAGGATATTTCCTCTTTCAGACTGTTTAAACTGCCTTGTACATCCTACTCTTCCATCTCGCATATTTAGAGAGTTTACATAAAACCAGCTACATTTCTCACAATCAAGCTGTTGGCTGGAGGTATCTGGTCACCCAAATGAATGTCCAAGCATGTACACCAGAGAGCTGGGAATTAAGGCACTACTTGCTTGTGTACAATTTTGGTTTACACTGTGGGAACTGAGATTGCCGTATTTGAATGGAAAAATACCATAATGCCTTTTAACCCACACAGACTTGGTAGTTAGTTAAAGCCAAAGACTTCTTATATGTTTGTTTGTAGGGCAATTACATTACATTTCCCTATTGTTAGCAGTTATTATATCTGCTGCAGTTGGTAGATATGACTGAAACCAGCAAAGACATGTAGTCTTTCTGATATTACTTTAGTCAACCTCTTGCTGATAAGGGGGACCCTTAATGGAGTGGAAGGGTTAAGTAATATCCGACCTGCACTGTGTCCTGGAATACATTGTAAGAACAAATGTATTTTGACACTGAAGCTCTGATTCAGCTTTTTTTTTTCCTGTCAGTACAAACCAATAAACAATTTATATACTTAAGAATTGCATTTCTTTGTCTTATGTTGTCTAATATAACACACACACACACTTGTAGGTATGCATTCTTTTACAAGAAGCTAGTGTTCACCAAGAGCCCCCTAAGGTGGGTCAGCTTACCTCACGTTTTTCTTGACCAGTCCATTTTTTTAATAGGACTGGTCAAACTTTATTATGTTTTTTTTTTTTTTTTAATACATTATTTAAACATACAGTAGAAAGAAAACATCTTACACAGACTTTAAAGAAACAAACTACTACTGTATGAACAGTTCATTTAAACCACTAGTGAGGAGAATGGAAGCTGCAAGATCTTCCCTTCTGGAAAATGTTAGTTCCCTGGCAGTCATGCTAATTTAATGGCTTCATAACTTTCAATCAGTGACACAGAACACGTATGCAGAATAGGGACACTGGATCTGTGTACTTGCTTTAAAACTTTAAGCCACCTACCTAGAATCAAGAGACATCCAGGTAGTTAGCATTTACCAAATGATTTCTGCAGTGGTTACAGAGTGGGACCACCTTCTGACTTCAGGCCACCAAGATTCTTTTTGTATGGATTCGGCTAGGTATTGGAAGTGTTCCTTTGGTGTTTCAGTACATGCAGATCTACATGGTTTGTAGTGTGATGGCCACCTTCCACCTCATTCCAAAGAAATCATGATGTGTATCAAATTTAAGCCCCAGTGTCTAAATGTGGCAGGAAACAAGTCAACAATAATCATGCAAGGAAACGTTTATCAATCTCCAGATATTCATTGTTGGTGCAGAGATTGAGACTGTAACTCATAGCAAAGATATAATCACTAGTGTAGTCCTAACCTACAGGGGATTTCCTGATTTCTCCCATTAAAAGTATGGGCAGAGATGTATTACTTGCCCTACACTGGAAGGGGATTGGAGCACTTGCTGTACCACAAAAATGACCTAACTTGAGTTTCCTGCTGGATAAAACCTGGGGTAGCAAGTTGTGCATGGTGTTCTGTAGTGCACAACACAAAAATACATTTTTATTACAAAATAAAAAAAAGAAGAAAGCCAGTATTGAGTCCCTTATAAACTTACACAATGCAACCTGCCCATTAAACCGAAAAACAACCAGTAGTTGAAATGTGAACTTTGTTCCAAGTTACTTTTTGGTTACCATTGCTTCAACATAGTATATTTGCAACCTTCCAGCGCTTACGGGAACAGTGACTTGTGGTGTATTTGAGCCACTAATGGATGACATATTGCTTTCCTCTAATGAGCAGCATATGCCTTAAAGGAGAACTATGAGGTGAGTGAAAGTCACTCATCCTCATAGTTCCAGCCGACGTGTGACAATTAAACGGTCACGCGTCGGCTCAATAGATCGGGAAGTGAGCGAACGCATACCATCGTTCGCTCGCGTCTCGATCATCTCCCTGCAGAGATTCCCCCCCGCACCGATCCTCCACCGCTGACTGGAGGAAAGGACGGGGTAGGGGGTTGGTGCAGCTGGCTCTGCTTCTAGATAGGCAGAGCCAGCTGTCACTCAAGCAGCTGGGTGGATCGACAGTAATGTCGGGATCCGTCCCGGCTGCACCGGTCTCAGTATACAGTGAGCTGCAGCTCCCGGTATACTGAGCTTTGGGTGACGGGAGGATGCTAGTTTATGTCCTCCCGTGACCCTTAGGAGAACTACAGGAAAAAACACTTACCCCATAGTTCTCTTTTAAACACACCCAACCTACTTATCTACACAGGCACAAGGTAAGTGTTCATATTAAGTAATGTGTGAAGAAGGTAAGATCATGTCTGTACGTCCAGCTGACCTTTAATGCATATGGTTATCTCTAGAAACCACATTTTCTCCATTGATAAGCCAGTGCCAGCTCCTACTTGGCTTCCCTCTCCATATATATTACTTGTAACATTGGCTAACACAACACTCTGGGGGGGGGAAATTTATCAAAACTGGAGTGGACAGAATCTGGAGCAGTTGCCCATAATAACCAATCAGCTTTCTTCTTCAGTTAAGATTTGAAAATGAAAGAGAAGCTGATTGGTTGCCATGCACAGCTGCTCCAGATTTTGCCTGCTCCAGTTTTGATAAATTCCTTTCTCTGTGGTACAGGGAAGCTGATACAGGGATCAGCTTCCTCTTATTTGTTGCAGATTAAAGAGTAGCATAACACTGCCATTTAAAAGGTCATATCTCTAGTGAGCAGTCATGGACAACAGTATACTTAGTAGGTGGGTAGAGACATTTTATTATACACAAACTTGTACAATTTATTTTCCAAACAGTGATGAGAAGTCCCTCATTTTGGCTTTTTACATCTACTTTTACATAGACATGAGGCATTGGTGGCTCCAGTTGTATTAACACATCACTGTGTAAGTACAAAATAAAAAAGAAATAAAAAAAGGAAAAACCTTTTTGAAAATAAGATTTTGCTATACCAGCTGTGTTGCTGATGGCACTGGTGGAGATTTTCTTTCACTGAAAAGAGGTCCGTCTTCAGCTGGAGCCTCTGTCCGTGAAAGGGTTAAGGCATTGATTTTGGTCAGAAGGAAGGCAGGAATAACAAAGACATTGTGTTAAGCACTGATTTATTACACTGGGTTGTGGCACTAAATATTTTGTACACAATTTAGGTGTGTATCACAAGGAAGAGCTAGTGTTTTGACATCTGACAAGATTTCAGAGCTACAGTGTTCTGCTGGCTTGGAAGGGTCAGATCGGGATGTGTAGTGAGTTAATGCTGCTTTTGTTCACGCATGGCATTCAAGGAGACCATTATCGAGCTCCATTTATTGACTTTGATGGCTTGGGGTAACTGCGTTATCCCTAATCTTATTACTGGTATAATCTTGTGTTTACTCCCACAATGGAGCAGCATAAAGGACAATCCCAGAGTAGATCCACCCGCCACCTTGTCAGGCAATGACAGTCATGAGACTCCACATACAATTACAAATCAAACATAAATATGGTCAGTTCATTAAAGTCCATATTGTTCCCTTTTTTTCTATTAGATTTCTACTTTTGGCAGTTCCAATGTTGATCACTTCCAGAGACTTGAAGTTTAGTATAGATCAATCCTTTCCTGGGCACACAAGACAATGTTTGGAGACATGGTGAGCAGGACTTCCAAACTGCAAGCCTGGCTCATAGGTTAGTACATGCCTTGTGTTCTCCTGTGTGCAGTGAGGGAGAAATGTGTTATGTGCGCACCTGGAACTTTCCTGCTTTGGTCAGATACTTCACTCCTTTGAAAGGCTTGTATTTCTCCCCATACATGTCCAGACGATTCACTTTTAGTCCTGCAGAGGAGAGAACACATGTTGTACATTTTAACTGGTGAATGTTATGAGTCAATGTAATTGCTTTAATACCAAAAATACCAAGTGCTCTTTTGTGTCTATGGTAGAAAAAAATTAAGTTATACTCACCCAAAGCTTGTGTCTAGCCTGCTATGACCCATAATAGAAGTCACCAGCACTCGATGATATGTGCAAAAAGTAAAGCACTTTTTATTCAATGGTCACATGCGTCAA